GCGCGCCCGTCGCGCTGCCGTCGTCGAGTGAAGGTTTCCTTGTCATGGCTTGTCTCCTGAGGGATAGAAATAGGAAAGCCGCCTGCACTTTCTCGGAGCGGGTCTGGCGGCCGCACCCAGCGGTAGACCCCGGGTGCTACGGGAGATGCTCGGCGAGCAGCTTGCGCAACATGCGTGTGAGCTCCTTGCGCTCGTCCGGCGTCAGCACCTTCAGCGCCGCGCCGTTGTGCTTCTTCAGCGCCTGCTGGGCCTGCTTCCACACCGCCTGGCCCTGCTCGGTCAGCGACAGCGCGTTGTAGCGACGGTCCGTCACCGAATCCACGCAGTCGATCAGCTCGCGCTCGACGAGGTCGCGCACCAGGCCGGTCACCTGCGACTTCTTGATGACCAGCGCGCGCGCCAGGTCGTTCTGCGACATGCCCTCGTTCGCGGCAACCAGCGACAGCACCGTGATTTCGCCGGGCAACAGCCCCAGCGGCGCCACGTGGTCCTGCGCCGTTTGCTGCAGCACGCTGCGCAGCGCCCGCGTCAGGTAGGACAGGTTGTCCTCAAGCGCGCCGAGCTGCAAACCGGGCGTGCCGGTGACCGGGGCAGCGGCAGTTTTACGTGAGGCCATGGCCGTCAATTACTTTCAAACTTTAACTATCAACGATTCAAACCCGTCGACCCGATGGCGTCGGCGCCGCGGCACGTCGGCGAGTGACGGCACAGCGAGGCCATGCACCGCCCCTCAATGTCAGATGGTCGATATCCATTGAGCAAAACCGAATGAGAAGAAGTTTCCCCGAGATCCTCATCCAGCCGATGAATATCGAATATCGGTTTACTTTATGAACCATTTCGGGTTATCTCGCATGACTCTCTCCGGGTATTCGCGCCAACATTTATTTAGTTCTTAACGGCTTTTAGCCGAACAACAAGGCGAGCACCGGCCCGGCTGGCGCCCGCCCACACCCGGAGACATAGAAAAATGAAGTTCCCGAAAACACGCGCCCTCGCAGGCGCCTTGAGCGGCGTCGGCCTGCTGACGTTGCACCTCTGCGCACACAGCCAGGCCACCGCGCCAGCCGCTGCGGAAGAGTCCGCCACGCTGGAGCGCGTGGTCATCTCCTCGCAGCGCCGCCTCGAGTTGAAGAAGGACGTGCCGCTCGCGGTGACCGTGACCGGCCGCGAGCAACTGGAGCGCCAGCAGGTCACCAGCGTGGCCGACCTCGTGCGCACGTCACCGGCCTTCGAGGTGGGCGACGCGGGCAGTTCCCCGGGCGGCGCCGGCACCATTCGCGGCATCGGCACCAACTCGTTCGGCAACACGTCCGAGGCCGCCGTCGGCATCGTGGTGGATGGCGTGCCCCAGGCCAATGCGAGCATCAGCGCGCTGTTCGACATCGATCGCGTGGAAGTGCTGCGCGGCCCGCAGGGCATGCTGTTCGGCCAGACGGCCTCGGCCGGCGTGATCAACATCTCCACCGGCGTGCCCCGCGTGGGCAAGTACGAATCGCGCGTGTCGGTCGATCTGTCGGACAAGGGCACGCTGGGAGCGCGCTACGGCGAACGCACGCTGCGC